GTTGCGAAAATCAAAAAGAATCTTTTAAAGATTATTTTTTTTTTTTTGTTGGATCTACCATCTTATAATTACGCATTTTCCTATTTTTCTTTACCCTACATTTTACAAATTATAATACAAATTATAACCATGAAACGACAACCTTTTTTTTTTTAAAGGAAAAATTTTTCCTGAAACTTAAATTTTTTTTTTTGTTACTTTAAAGAAAAGGAAAATCGAAAAAAAGAGAATAAAACGTATATATGTGAACCAACAGAAAAGATTCAAAGGTGAAAAGAAGTTAATTTAATAATTTTCGAGACCAATCTTTTAGTAAAGAAAGTAAAACTAAGAATACTTTTTAACGATGACCACAATTTTTGTTAAATCCTATAGAACTAAAGAAGGAATGAGGACTTAATTTTCATTAATAGATGATAAAAAGAAATCATAGCAAACGTAAAAAGGAATAAAAGTTAAAAAAAAATAAAAAAAAAATAAATTTAAAATTAAGCTTAAATCTTGTTAATATCAAACTCGTTCGTTACATAAATTCGGGTCAAACCGAATGGTCAGAAACCGGTTAAAAAAGGATTTAAAACCGAATGGTACATCCGGTTCCAAACTCTATCTACTTTCGATAATCGAATTACTTACAGTACTATCACTATGTTGTATTATAATCGCATTATCGAAAAAACTTATTTCCCGTATTTGGCTGCGCATGATACAATACAATTCATCATAAAACGACAAATCATATTGAAGTCATCTTTAGAATCATAAAAGCATTGCGTAATAAAAATGATGACTTATTCAAGTTGTCATGGCGTAGTAGTACGCTAAAAGAAATACTTGTTTTAAGTGATATTTGTATGTACTGTATTATATTATATGTATTGATATGGGAATGATTAATTATCAAGCTTTTTTAAAAGAGGATCAAGATAAGGGGAAGCCAGATTTATTACAAGCAACATGATAAATTTTTGTTAATAGTTGATTCTCATGCAGCACAATGATTAGAACGATCATTCAATATGTAAATTCTTAATTGGGAAATCTAAAAGTTTAGGATTTTATAAAATACAAATTAAAAGCGCCGAGATCGTAATATTATCATGTGTAATTAATGCGGGTATATGATATGTATAATTTAATTAAGCCTTAAAAAAAAATTTATTTGTTTTTGAAATAGAGATTCGATATTCGTATTTAAATCCGGATCCAGTTCCTAATTTAAAACATGCTATGTATTATTTTAGAAACTTTGTTCTAATTCAAAATAAAAAGCAAAAAAAAAAAAGATCGTTTTTATATATATTCTACATTGTGATACAATAAACCTGTCAAAACCGTCAAATTCGCAAATTTGTTATCGAAACTATCGAAACCCATCGAAACTGTCGAAAACAATTTTGAAAAGTTTCGATTTTTGCTATAATGGGTTTAGGGTTTTGACCCGCAACTAACTACCATGTAGGACGACAATATTCACAATCAAATATGTCTGATTCATTGAGGCAACACGAAGAATCATTTTGAACATCAGTTGTACAGGGGCATTCTTGCCTTTTCACCAAGCTTGAGTGTTTCTCACTAGAAGAAGGAGCTGAGAAAGCAACATTACTGAAAGCTAGTATGACGATAATAAGCATGAAAATGTGAATTTTCATGGTGACTTTG